AGTGGCACTCACACCATGTTGTCTTCACCCAAGCTTCAAGTCCCAACCTTGGGACTGACCTCAGCCACTAATGGCAGCCCCATTGCCCCCGTTCCAAAAATCAAGAAAGGTAACTATCTGCACCCTTTTGTTGAGAGATGTGTTGAACGTTTGAAGGAGTCTTCCCGGTGGCTTCCCCTCCCACAATCCCTCGGGGCTGTGCTGGGCTAAAGATTGTGGGAGGAGAAGTTCAAAGACCGGAGGGTACCAGGTTATGGAATTTCTTTATATCTTCGTTTAAGCACTGGAGATGTAATTAACTGGTGCTGAGTTGCAGCGAATCTACTATGTTGATCTCTTAATTAGCAGGTGGGGCTTTTCACATCAAATATAATGGGAGAATTAGTGGGGGGGAGAGGCTTTCTAGCACCTCAAGAGTAGTCATTAAAAGTTCTATTAGTGCCCTTGTCTGCTGTTTCCTTAAAAAGATGGTGTACAGGTGGTCTTCACTTAACAACCACTTGTTCAGCGACCGTTTGAACTTAGGATGGTGCTAAACAAGTACTTCCAACCAGTCCTTCTAGACTTCAAGAGGGTCACATTGTCCCGCAATCACACGATGGTCGTTTTCAACCTACTTTGCTGGCTTCCTACAATCAAAAGTCAACGATAAGTCAGCAGGAGGTTGCAAATGGCAAGCACATGATGCCCTTGCTTAATGACCCATGGGAATTCACTTAACAACAGCACAGAAGTTCTAGAACCATGATGGCAAACCTATGGCACACATGCCACAGGTGGCACCCAGAGCCATATTAGCTGGCATGGCAGCCCTCAGCTCCAGCTGATTTTTTGGCCTTCTGGAGGGCCGGGGGAAGCCATTTTCGCCATCCCCAGGCTCCAAGAAAGTTGTGTGCACATGTGCAGGACAGCAGGTTGGGGGGGGGGTTCATGTACGTATCTGCAGGGGGGGCATTAAATTATGGATGCGGGCACACGAGCACGCAGGTGCTTTTGGCACCCGAGGTGGAAAAAGTTCGCCATCACTGTTCTAGAATTTCCGTTGCTAAGTGGCACAGTCATGTGACATTCTTTACCTTTTGACTTTTTTTGCATAGCAATGAAATTGGGGGTCCTGTTATTAAGGGAGGACTACCTGTGCAGGAAACTTTGGGAGAAAGGCAGGTGACTTGGGTCCCACCTATGTAGCCCACCCAATGAATTTGAAATGAGGACGTGGCTAATGTGTTTCATTGCCTTGAGTGAAAAGTAATCAGTTAAAACATAATCTAGAATCACCTATTCTCATTTACTGGATCATTGACTCAATTCAGGTTAATAAAAACAATGAGAAAGATATCATTAACATAAAATGCCGTGAGAAAAAAAGGGATTTGTTCGGGGGTGGTACAAATGAACGTTTTGCTCCTGGGTTTCTCAGAACTTCGAGGGGAAAAAAATCCTGTTAGCCTCGGCCTTTTGTAGTTGACCTCAAAATGTATATATGTATTTGCTCTTTGTAGTAGGTTTCCTACTTCTCCCCAGCTAGAAATATTGTTCTAAAGTTCACAGTGGCCAGATCTAGAGGGTTCTAACTGGGTTGCATGCATCAATAAAAAATCCTGGCTGTTTAACATAAGCAGCTTCATTCAGGCAATACCAATCGCTCAAGCACTGGAGAACTTCAGTGGAGGAGGAAAGGCTGCAGCCAGGCAGTGCACCACAGTGTAACAGAGGGGAGAAGCTCCTTAATCCTCCTTTTGGGTGATGACTTCTACCTGCAAGAACACTGCCTGAATCAGCTAATGTTTACCACCAGATTTGGTGCCGAGTCTAAAAGTTGATACATAATGAAATTCTGCAAACTGGGTCTTTGGGCTCAGGACAATCTGAAATCTTGCTGATAAAGATGCTGCAGAGGGAAACATTAAATCAGGGGTGTCAAACTTGATTTCATTGAGGGCCGCATCAGGGTTGTGTTTGACCTCCGGGGGGCGGGTGGGTGTGGCCAGCTCGACATCATTCATGTCGGGGGCACCTGTGGCGGCCCACGCGCTTGGCCAGCGAAAATGGGCTCCTAAGCTCCGTTTTTGGCTGCAACAGCCTCCTGCAACCCTCTGCAGCGAAAACAGAGCTCAGGAGGGTCATGTGCTCCGTTTTTGCTGGCAGACAGTTGCAGGTGGTCATCGCAACCGGAAATGGAGCTTTGGAAGCCTGTTTTCACTGGCAGAGGCACCGTGGGCCAGTCCCTATTTCCAGAGTGGCTCCGCGGGCCAGATGTAAGCCCCCCGTGGGCTGGATCCAGCCCCTGAATTTGACATGCCTACATTAAATGAACACCAGAGTCCCTTTCCCATGGAAAACAGCTAAAATGGGACAGATGGAAAGGCTTGTAAGGAATTGGGACTGTGCTCTTTTCTTTTGGAAGAAAGACTGCAGATCTTGAAGAAGTACAGCAGCACCTCTAGTATTCATTAAAAAAAAGAGCCCAGCCTTTTTTTTAAAAAAAAATTCCATGTGAGCCTCAAAAAAGCAGCTGCAGCTGCTTTAAGGATTGCATTAATTTAAGTTTAATTACTTCTGTTAACACTGCCTTCCTGAGATTGTGGGAGCAGTCTCCTCCAGAGAGACTATAATTTTACCGGCTGCACCTATTTTCTGTATGTGTTTTCTCTTTAAAAAAAAAAAAAAAGCCCTAGAACCATTGTAGTCACCTTTCTCCATCACTTTCCCTTCCCCCCCCCACGCCAGAGGAAGATTCTGCAATTCCTATTGCGGTGCCCACCCGCCTACCTGTCTCACTCGCAAGCCATCCTGTCGTCGCGGCGCAGGCTGCAGCGGTGCAAGCCGCTGCCGCCCAAGCTGCTGTAGCTGCTCAGGCGGCTGCGTTGGAACAGCTCCGGGAGAAGCTGGAATCGGGGGAGCCGCCAGAAAAGAAGATGGCACTTGTGACCGATGAACAGCAGCGTCTGATGCAACGGGCAATCCAGCAAAACTTGCTCGCCATGACCGCTCAACTGCCGATGAGCATCCGGATCAATAGTCAAGGGGCCCGCTCACCAGGTCGGTGGGTTGCTGCATGTTCGCTCCCTTTCCCCAAAGGTTGATAGCCATACCAGACTTGAGGTGGAGATGGATGGAAGCCAGGCACCTCGGCCCAAGGGTTGCTCATGGGGATATGCCTCGTACTGGAGCCTGAAGCTCTAACCTCTGCACCAACCATGGTGGTGCAGTGGTTAGAGTATAGTACTGCCGGCTGCCTGCTTGAAATTTGGCAGTTCGAATCTCACCAGGTTCAAGATTGACTTAGCCTTCCATCCTTCCGAGGTGGGTCAAACGAGGACCCAGATTATTGGGGGCAATATGCTGATGCTGTAAACCGCTTAGAAAGGGCTATAAAACACTGTAAAGCGGTATATAAGCCTAAGTACTATTGCTATTCAGGGTACAGGTAGTCCTCACTTACCAATCACAAACAGTGTGGTCATTAAACAGAACATCTCATGACTGTGACTTGCGACTTCCTGCTGGCTTCCCCATTGACTTTTCTGGTCAGAAGCTGGCTGTGAAGGTAACAAATGGTGATAATGCATACCGGTTGCCAGGTGCTTGAATCAGGACCACAGGATCAACCTGCACTGGTTTTAGCTTTAAGGAGTGCCTGTCTCTATTTTCAGCACTGTCTTAAATTTGAACAGCCTCTGAGTGATGTTGGTCACTGAGGACTACCTGTAGTTAACACTCCCATTAAGAAAGCATTTTATGCTTATTACTGAAGGAGAAAGGTGTGTGGCTAGAAAGTTTATTTTCCAACTAAAGGTCTGTTATGGTGTTTTTATTGTATGCTGCTCAGAATCATGTTTTGTGAGATGGGCAGCTATATACAGTAATGCTCAACTTAAGGCCGGTCACTTAACAACATTTTGAAGCTGTGATGGACCCTCCCAAAAGCTGCTTATGATCCATTTTTTGAAATTATGATGGCCATATAACACATACCCCACAATCACACAATGACATTTTGAGCACTTGGCAACCAGCTCACCTTTATGGCTCTTTGCAGTGTGTCCTGCTATCATAGGACCGTGATTTGCAACTTTTTTGGCCTGATTTCCAGCAAAAAAATAGCCTTTGGGGGAAAATTAATCTGCTTTATGACTGCGGCATTTGCTTAACGACTACAGTATTAGCTTAACAATCAAGTCTGGTCACATGATGCCTCAATTTACAACCACAAGACATGATTGTAATTCCAGGCTCAACTACAGTCATAAGATGAGGACTTCTTATAAATGTGATGAATACAAATAAAACTGGATAGATTTTTAAAAACTGTAAATGATGTAAATCAAACAAGTTTGCATTATTATTCATTTCTGCCAGCTGTATTTTTTCTGCATCATTTTATCCTGCTTTAACTAGGCCTGTATTGATAACTGAGTGCTCAAACAGAAACTAATCATTGTCATTTTTATAAGTCTACAAATCCCCCCTCCCACATTCAGTGAAAACTGAGATCTTGTGTCTTTCAATTATATCATTAAAAATTCAAGCAATCAAGGATTCTCTTTTTAACAAGATTTCAGTATATTCAGATGATCCAAGTGGCTGAGAGATTGCCTTCATTTTCCATTTACAACATTTACATGTCCTTATTTTTAGCCTTGCCCATTTAATTTCCAGTTTATAAGCCAAGTACGTGTAGCCCCAAATTTAGTTTATTGCCGTTTTAAACTAATCTCTCGCCGTACAAAGATCACTTTTTTGCATCTAAAAAAAAGAGCCATCTTTATTCTTTTGCAGAAAACCGCCAAGACTCTTCCATGAATCTGGCTGCCAATGGCACCAGTAGCATTAGCATGTCAGTCGAGATTAATGGCATCGTGTATGCAGGTAAGGGGAGAATTCAATTGGGACTTAGAGAAAATGGTTGGCCACTGTGGCAAGAATTGATTGTTCTATAAGTCAGCGGTCACCAACTGGTGAACCATGAGAAAATTTGGGAGGTTTGGCAGAAAAATTATTTTCATTTTTTATATTGCACTAAATCAGGGGTCCTCAAACCTCGGCCCCTGGTCCGGATACATGCAATGAAAGTTTGTGTTGCTGCAGAGTCTCCCCCTTTGGGGTGTTTTTGTGCGGGTCGGAGGGGGGCAGATATTCCAACTTGGGGTCTGCTTCAGCCTCCTGGTACGGGGCTTTTGGCGAAGAGCCGGAGGGCCTTGTTCCAGTGGGACTGGCTGACCATGTCAGCCCCCTGAGCCTCCAGGCGCCGGTACCTGGCTTTGCATTCCCGCAGCTCTTTCCTCTGCTTGGAAAGCCTATGCTCATAGTCCTCAGTGAGCTGCTTCTGCTGAGCCTCCTTCTCGGTCACATCCAATTTGAACTGAGCTGTTTTGCCAACTCTTTCTCGTGGTGGCTGCTTAGCTCCAACAACTGCTTCCTGTTGGGGCCCTAAGGAGCCCAGGCGGGCAGGCGAGGAGTGGTTGGGAGGGGATGGGTGAGTAGAGACTGGCGAAGCGCCCTTCGACGTGAGTGACATAGTTGGCCACACCCACCCAGTCACATGACAACCTTGCCACCCCCGCCCAGCCGGTCATTAGGCAGATCATATTAGTGGTCCACGGGATTTAAAATTATGAATTTAGTGGTCCCTAAGGTCTGAAAGTTGGTGACACCTGTTATAAGCC